GACGCACCACCAACGTACGCCTTGGGGATACCAGTGTATTCAGTACTCTTACCGTACAGTAAGAAAGCAAAAGAATTGGCCAATGGGAACCACGACTGGGTGCAAGCAAGCTACAGCATGTAGTAGCACCTTGAAGCAGTGGGCCCATGTCCTCCCGTCATTCTTCTTCTTCTTCTTATTCGTCGTCGTCGTCGGTTGATTCTGTTCGCTGTTCGCTGGCTGCTGGCTGCCGGGACCCATGAGCGCGCCATCCATCTCCCATTTGCATCTTCGTGCAGCATCACCACGACAACAAAAGCCCTGCCCAAACTTCTGCACGTCTCTGCCATCATTCACCACTCACCACTGCAAGCCATTGTTTGTTTTGGGCTGCACCTTTTGGGGCCTACTTCTTGTGTGACGGCGTGATCTGCGGATTATAACAGCTCGGTGGTGCCCAAGTTCCTGTTTCCCCTCCAAGCGCCCCAAGTGCCCCCAACCACCTCCTGCCCGCTCCTTTCACAGCCACCCGATTTCTTCTCGAATAACAAGCAACCCTTCCCCCCCTCCCCTCCCCCAACCCTCTCACTTTCTGAACAACGGCCGCGCAATCTCGCTTCCTACCTTGCCCGCCCGGCCATATAGTCGCCCTCCCCTCCGCTCGCACTCGCTACCCTCTTTCCTCTTCATGATGGGCATCTTCACCAAACGACGCAACTCCTCCAGAGCCAATTCATACGTCGAAGAAGAGCCGAGCCGACGGAACCAGTCGCTTGACGAGTATCGCCCCGAGTCTGTCCGCAAGGACCAAGCACACATCCAGCAGCCCACCTCGCCCAACGACGAAGACATGTATCCCCGCCCCCAGCAGCCCCAGGAGTCGTCGGCCTTTGCGCCCCAACAGAATATCCCAAACGGCACCCACAGCGCAATGCCCATCAGGAACCAAGCCATGGCACCCAACACCAGCATGGCACCGGCCGCTCCCATGCCAGACTTACTGGCCCAGGCCTTCAATCAGGCTGTCCGGCCCTACACGGAAAAGATAGAGCAGCTTGAGAGCCAGCTTGCCGACATGCAGGCCTGGGTCGACCAGCTGGAGCAACAGCGCGCAGAAGTTCACAATTGGATCGACAAGCGTGGATTGCGGCCAGGTAACGTGGCTCCTCGGCTACTACTACCAAGCTTGAATACTGACTCCTGTTTTTTTTTCTAGACGTCCCCATCTCCATTGCAAAGATCATGGACACCACCACAGCCGACGCCGCCACCACGCTCAACGCCCAGCTCGATCGCAAAATCACAATCGTTAACTTCGATCTACACCGTCTTCAGGACGATCTCAACGATTCCATCTCATCCTCACATTTCGCTTCGGCCATGCTCAAGTTCCTTCCCGATATCCAGCGCCTCACTCACCTCCCGTCCGGTCCCCGCTATGCTTTTGACCTCATACTCAAGCTGGGCGGCAACCTCAACTCACACGGCGGCATCGACAGCGCAGATGCGGGCGATATTGCTGCTCGTCGCGACTTCTACAGTCGGCTCGACGAGCACATGGTCGACGTTGTCCAGCGTCGCTTCGGCGAGGGCGAGGACTGGAACGTCTCGCGTGAGATCAAGCGCATCGAGAAGACTGCCAGCTATCTCAGGACATATGGTGTCGAGCCGTATTTCCCTTCGACTCTCGAGTTGATGAAGCGGGAGATGGAGTTCCAGCCGCAGAGCAACGGGGTGCCCAACGGCCAGGGAACCCCTCCGCGGTACCAATAAATGCCGTGAGGGTGCCTTGAGCTGGTGGCGAGCTGACAGTCTTTTCCTAGTACCATGATTGGAATGGGAGAAGAAGAGTGCGTAATGAGTGGTTGCGGTCGACAAATCAAGGCTTCCCAGCTCAAGCGGAGATCATCGGTGCAGAGGGTCACGAGCCACATTTCAAGACGAATCTCGAGGCATCGACAACATGGCAATCCTGCTTCTCGTCCCTCCTCAGCTAAGCTTGCCCGGCAGCTTGAACTGTCAACTCTAGGAGAAGTAGGAAACGAGTTAAGCCTGGACCGAGATTTTGTCTGGAAAATGCAGACAGTTTCGTCCATCTATGGCACTACCGCTGAGAATCTGAAGCGGCCATTGCTTGGTACAAATTCTCTGGCAGCCGAGACAGTACGAGAGGCTCGGCGATTGCAATGGTCTGCCCGCAGTGTCTGGCCTTTTTCAGCAGAAATATTTGCTATACCTTGAGCATGCAGATACTGACTTTCCTGCCGATGCTTCTTGGCTGAGATCCCCACATCCGCCCATCGACCCTGGTGCCCTTGTTGATCTTCACTCCGCCCTCGATACCTTCGAAAGGTAGCTCGTTTGTCGCTCATCTTCACACCCCATCGCTCAATCATTCTCAGACTATCACTACACCACCCGCTCAACCCTCGAAGCATGGCATTTATTCTTCGCTTCCCACTACGGCGTTTATTGCTTTCCCCCCACCCAACATCCTTTCAGACATGTATCTTTGCTTGGGCATGTTAAAATCAACATGGTCCTATACCTCCTTGTTCGTTCTTGTCATTAGGGGCCACCACATAGGGCACCTGGGACGACGCTTACGACTTTGTACTTAATATCTGATTGTCACGAATTTCTTTTTTTTCTGGGTCAGTTGATTGCACGGCTCTGCGTACGTTGGATATATGACTCGGCACAAGTAACTGTAGGACAAGGGGTTGTTGTGCACGAAATGTTCTTTTGTTTTGGCGCGGATTCCCAGGGACATCGAGAATCGTTGACAATGATTGGTCAGCATTGTTGTACCCGAGTAATAGTGTGAATAGCAGTAGTACTATCTTGATCCAGTACTATCGACTTTTTCCCAACTGATCTTCATCCTTTTCTTCCAGGCGCACTTGAAAAAGTAGGATGAGATGCGGTACGGTGAGATAACCCAAAGTACGGTTCATACGTTGTGTCGAAATAGGTATTGCCCATTCTTCATTACTGAGGTATCATAGCTACCATAGTCACTCACTGAACTAACAGCCTCCCACTCTCCTCTGCCCCTCTCACGCCTTCTCATTCCCAATGTTCGCATTCCCCCCTCCCCTCGCCTCGGCCAGTAACTGCGTACCCATAACCCCTCCATCCAATTTACTCTTAAACACGCCTGAGATGGAGTACAGTCCTGCAAATGGCTCATACACATACTCCTCCTCCCACGCCTCCTCGCCCTTGAACACAACACTGGCATTGAACCCATTAAACCGCATGTTGCGCGCATAATCGCCCACCACGACCGAGTTGGAGATGACACCGTTGTTGTCGAGAGTCTGCTCCACAATGTCGCCATTTTGTGCTAGCACGCGCCGCTTGTGCGTGTTGCCTTGGAAGTTGGAGACGGAGTAGAGGATGTTGTTGTGGAGATCCCATTGGTGGAAGTCGAGGTCACGTTTGGATTTTGCTGCTCCTGCTGCTGTGGTGTTGTCACTACTGTCTCCACCGCTTCCTGTCAAGCCGCCAGCTACGTCGCCAACGAGCCCAGCAGTGTCGTTGAGAATGGAACCGAGTCCGTTGCCGAGCTCTGCAAGCACGGGGTTCAAATCGATACTATCAAGGACGTCGTCGATCATCTTCACGAGGTTGCCCAGACGTGCTTCGAGGTAGACTTTTGCAGTTACATTCTGAATGAGGAGGGAGACCTTGTCGATGCTGAGGTCCACGCCAGCGTTGAATTGCAGTAATTGGAGGACTTCGGCGTCGAGATTGATTTTGGCGGTGAGGTTGTCGACGCCGACGAAGATTTCGCCCACGTGGACGGAGGCGTTGAGGAGGACATCTGGGATAGGGTCGAGGGCTGAGACGTTGGATGTTGCCGTGTTGGCGGTCTCGTAGAGGACCGCGGCTGGGTCGCCGTCTTGACGGACGTCGAGTCTGTAGCCCGAGTAGCCATCTTGACAGATGGCCAGGAGAGGTAGGGAGAGTGAAGTCGCTGTGCGGAGAAAAGAACGCATTGTGAGGAAAGGGAGAGGGAGTGAGTGGACGCAGGTCAATGATCCGCTGGAAGTGAAGGAAAAGAAAGGCAACAGACACCTTGATTGCAATCCTAGCTGTTCGCAGAAGGAGTGACACAGGGGCAAATTGCCTGTTAACAATAGTCTCTCGTCATTGGAAACCGTTATACTCTACACAGTTCAGCCAACGTTAAACAAGGATCCCGTACCGGTAGGTAAACCACAATGCAATGATGCACACATTCAGCAATTCCTCCGACTTGCAAAAAGACTCCCCAAATTAAGGAGAGAGAGAAAAACGGCACGCCTCCTGCCACCTTGCCAAAAACCAAGTTTTTCCATTCAAAATACAAGATTTTCCCACATGTACAATGTACAAACCCCAGCGCGGTTTCCAGTGGCGCATCAACTGCCCTGGAGAGATCCCGGTCGGGGCTGCATGGGGGGCTTTACCCGAGATTACCATTATGGGAAAACCTGGTCGTTAATGCTAGATGCGCATCGTGATGATGGATCCCGGATGGAAGATTTGGAAAGGGCATGGCTTTCGCTCGAGGAAGGATAATCTAGGGTAAAGGTGCCTCGTCCCATGTCCTCTGCTTGCTTGTCGCCTTAGTCGTACCGGTACGCCTGCTTCTTGACACACTTCACATTCGTTTTACTTTGTCGTTGGTTACTACCGGTATAGGTAGCACATTGTTGGTTCTCAGTCTCTTGTTCCTCTGCCAACTATGTCGTTCTCTATCCGTCTACTTCTCATCAGCATTCTTCTTGCTTTCGTCACCACGGGCGCTGCGCAGACTGCTTCTGAGGCACCTGCGCCTGGACCGTCGACACCCCCGCCCACGAGCAGTACGCCTCCTGGTGGCAATGGGACGAATACTTCGCCGCCTCATGTGCTCCCCACGGGATCCAGTCCACCAGACGTTCTTCTCCAAGTCCCCGAACTGCATGTGGGTCGCATCGAGCTCGGCGTGGAGAAGCTGCAAGCGGATTTGAATTTGAATGCGCGGGTTGCGGGACTGGTCAAGGTGAATGCCGGGGTGCAGGTATCTGTTGAAAAGGTCAATATTACGATCGCAGACGTTGACGTCAATCTGGAGTTGGTAGTGCGGTTGGGAAATCTCGTGTCGATCGTGGAACGGGTGTTTGATTCTCTGGATTTGAACCCCCTCTTGATCAGCCTCATTGGCAATGCTACAAACCTGGTTGGCGAGGTCATTGGCGCCGTCGACGGACTTGTGAGGATGATTTCTTGATTTTGAAAATGTGGACTGTCAAGTAAAGTGCTAACCAGTACCTACAAACTAGCTCGGATCCATAACACAAAACGGAAAGACATTGAACTTTCTCGTCGACAATCTCGGTAACATTGTGCAAGAAGTTGTAGGAGGAGGCGCAGACGCACTGCACCAAATTGTCGGAAACTTCAAGGTACATGTTCCCATTCCCCCTACCTCATATCCTATCATTTCACCACAACGCGGCGTGACTGACAATGTCATACAAGTTGAACATGACCGAGGTCGAAGGAACTATAAAGCAAGTGGGCCAAGGCCTCACTCAAAAGACCTACAGCTACGAACCTCTGAGCGCACTGGTCGACATTATAACAAATGCAGCTGGTAAGATTATCCTTTCGGCATTCTCGAGATGATCAGCTAACACGCAAATAGGCCAGGTGGTATCCGCGATTGTGCAAAAGAAGAATGGTGGTGGCAGCGGTGGCGGCAGTGGTGGTGGTGGTTCAACGACAGCTTCAGCTTCAGGAACACCAATGCCTGTTACATTGCCTCTGAGCTCGGCTACAGCTGCTTGATAGGTGAATATGAGCTACGCGCTGGTCAATTTGACTCTTTGGATGCTGAGTTGGGTGCTATGCGATGAGATTCTAATATTCTAGCTTGCAAGGCTTATTGTCACGAGGATACGAAGCGACAAAGCACGAAAAAGCATGGTGTCACTTTACAGCCATCCCAGTAGAAGATGATCCTGGGCAAAGTGCAAGCAAATATTGCGTATACGTTTTGTGGACCATTCTCAATTCAAATTCATAATATGAGACAGTGAGGTAATGACTGCAAACATTTTGCTCAAGGTATATTGGCATTCTCAAATCTAGCTACTGATTTTTGAGTAGAGAAATCGTAGATAATTCTTTGATTATCAATCTCGTCAAGTAATATCAAGACCGCGTATCTCATTTGTCATATTGATCTAGGTCGGTCTCGAGGGCTGCCCCGATCCACGGCGATGCTTCGTCCGTTTGACATTCTGCGTCACGTCAGTGTCTATGGTACTAGCAGAATTGAATCATGTCACACTAAGTAAACAAGACTGTGACGGCTATGAAGATGACCTACACGGCCATAGTGTAAGTAATCACATTTGCAGCTGGATATGATTTTTTGCAAGTGCATATCACATGTGTTCTGAGCAGTGTAGGTATGTACCACACAACATTTCATACATCTTTCATAACCCACAAGCTGCATTCCTATCTCTGAAAGCGTACCAGTAATAGGGCAGCAGCATGGGCATGACAAGGACTAGCTTTGTCGGGTCGTCTTCACGTCAAACGTCAAAATGAAGCGCACCACACTTTATGTCTGTGGCTGCGCTGCCTTGGTCATAAAAGAAAATCGCATCCAACCAAGGGGATGTCTTCTGGGTTCTGTACCAAAGTTTCCAGTCAAAATACTGAAATGGTGAATCACGGTAGCTGTGTTGCCAACGAATATTGGTTCTTTGACTACCAAACAATACTTATGCCGGAATCATGGGTCTCTCAGCGTCAAAAAACATGCAGCACTTTCCTGCATGTTATCAGAGACGTCGTCATCTCCAAGAATTATAACTTTGAACAGCTTCAATGAGTGTTTTGACTTGCTCAGTAAAAATAATTTAGAAGACAGACCCATGTTCCTCCGAGAAGTGTTAGGCTTCCTGTGCGTGACAGGAGCAGCAAAAAAGTAGTATGGATCTGGCAATGGGTTAGAGATGGAGTGCGAGCCCATTGATGTCAAAGTGCATAAAATGCTCATTGATGGTGCGGTTGTGAAGCTTCTGGGGTATATAAACCACGGTGTTCTTTGCGAGCATAATCTGCATACATTTGTGATCCTCGAGTATTTAAGGTCCAACAATTTGTAATCATGGCTTGCTTTTGTCGTCTTCAAACTCTCAAGGAGTTTGGCTCCCGAAAGAAACTGGTACCATCTACAATGTCATCGCTTCGCAGGGGCACAGACGCATGATCCGGGTCATGGAGACATGCTATTCACAGGTTTCAACCTGAGGTATCAAAGGCGCTGAGGTGACACCGTATGCTTTGGCGCCCAACGTTGCTCACAAAAGATTGACTTGTGCAGCCTTCATGTTTTACAGTGCATTGTGTCGGTGTCGAACATTAAATCACTTTGTTCATGTGTCGGACTGTGCAACTCCTCTAGACGATTGTAATTCTTGTGTTGATGGCAAGACAGAGTTATAAAGGCCGCCTGGTTGGAGCTGCACAAAGCTATTTCCTGCACCGGCAGGTATATAAATTCCCTTTACCTCCTCTTCCCTCGCATTCATTTCTCAGAAACTTGATGGCAAGTTCATGAGCAGTTCCTCCAAAAGACAGAAGCAGAATATCGAAATTAAGATTGGACTCACTCAGGTCTCGTGGTATCATTCCACTACAATGGATGCACGAAAAGAGGTGCCAAGTTGTACATGGGCATTGTGCGTCCAAGTCGGAGTGCGTAGGAGGTATATGTGACGTGTGTCTACCTTCAAAATATCGAAATGGATAATATCTATAAATGCTTCATGCTTTGCTGGGACGCTGACTCCGAAAAATGCTGTGGTGCAGATCATGTCTAGGAGCGCGCATGGTGGATAGCAAGAAAAAATCATGTGACTTGTCTTGTGAATCCAGTAATAACTGCCTGCAGCCTTGGAAGATAATTTAGGGACAAATGTCTGCTTGGTAAATTTGGTTCGCAACTGTTTTATGCAGAATGAAATTTTCGATGTAATCCTCGCTGATGCTTTGCGTTTTCAAGTTTCTCGGGCAAAAGTGGCGATTATACCGAGGTTGAGCAACAGGTGCACACTTTTCAATTAGCGCTGGCAAGTCCCGTCGCGTTAGCCTGTATACGGTCGGTGAGCTGGGCTGCCATCTACTGCCGTCATAGCCGTGTTGCGTGTCACCATTTTTGGGCGTTCCTGAGGATCTCATCGAGATTGGTACTCTAGGTAGCGGCGACGGCGGCTGCAAGCTTATCTCCGAAACGGTTTGAAGCCAGGCTTTAGAAAGAGAAGCCACGTTGCGATTGCAGTTGATTTCTCATTGGGATAGCATACTACCAACAGGCACATGGAGGATGGCATAGTAGACATAGGTACAACACATGTATATACATACATACATGATAGCCATACTGTTTTGTCGCCAAGAGGTGACCAAGTGGGGTTCGGCGGAGAAAGAGCGGCCGCTGCACGGGCCACCACTCGGCGCTTTCCATGTTTCCCCGCGGTCCGGCTGGGAAGGCGCAGCAAGGTTGAGGCTTGAGCAACAGGGCGATCTTGCAGCCAATCAGCGGCCAAGGTCGGCGGCCGCCATCCCGTGCCTGACCTGTGCAACACCTTTCACACGACTAGCACGACTAGCACGACTTCCGACCGACCGACTGCTCACTCTTCTCTCCCACTCCAACAGATTCAACCCCAGGCATTTCTCCCACTAGGCCATGTCCTGCCTTACCAGTCGCCATTGCTGTCATACATCACAGCCATAGTCCACCGTTACGAAGCATGCCGTGGTCATGGACAGGAAGGCCCTCTTCTTTCCGTGGTAAGTAAGCAGAGCAGACATAGTACATGTTCCTCAATGGGGGGAGGGGGGGAGTTCCCGACGCGGGTGGCGGAAGCGTGCGAGGATGGGATAGTCAGGGCTGACCAAGGGAACAGCGGCCTCGTGTTAGCATCAGGCTATCTGAGCACTGCACCGGCTCTTGATTACTCGTTTGCTTTGGACAAGCCATTGCACACTGTAGGTGTCGTCTTGCTGCTCACCGGTCTCGTCATCGTCGCAACAGAAGTCTGGCTGTCTCGTACCGCGCAGCCGCGACCGCCGACTCGCTTTGTCGCAATAGCTCTCAGTGAAGGCCAGCGCAGGCCACCAGGAGAAGAGATATGGACCGAGACAGGGCAGCCTGGAAGGCGGAAAGTTTGGACGGTGCGGGCCGTGGGAGCACTTCTGACTGTGCTGATGTTCGCAATCTGTGGTCGCATAGCCGTCTTCTATTGTGTGATGAAGCATGTCGAGTGCGCTGGGCCCTCGACACTGGTGCGTACTTGTCTTCCCATCAACTATACCACCCTGTGCCATGCTGAAGTTTACAGCCCTTCCTCCCCCTCATACTCGCCCTCTATCACAGCCTCCGCCATCCCAGCCAACGCCAGTACCCCGCCTGGAGTCTCGACTCACGCCCACGTACCCATCTCGATCGCGTCTACAACTTCGTCCTTGATGGCTCCACACGCTACATCATACCCTCTATCTTGCTCTCCATCAGCGGCTTCCTTGTCAACATCAAGACTGACGCCCTCCGCTCCACCTACATCTGCCCCATCATCGACTCTACGGCCGCGGGCGTTCCTTCGCTTCAGTTCATTGCCTTCTTATTAGACTGTATCATTGTACAGATCCTATATCGCTTTGTAGACGACGGCATCTCGCCCCCAGACGACTGGACCATACATCTCCAGGATGGTACTTCAAATCATTTTCTTGTTGGCTTAACGTTCATCGTACGTCTCGCGACCCCTCCCTACCTGGCTGGTCTCTAACACTTCCCAGGCATCCTCCCTGATCTGGCATTGTTATATACCCCGCCATGCCTGAGCACCGCGAGTGGATGCTCTCTTTTCCCTCTGAATATTTGCTCGGTCTTTTGCGTTTATCATTGATGATACCCTTTATGACATTATGTTTTCTGAAATCGGTAAGTCTCCTTTATGCCAGCTCGACTTGACATGAACCTGACTAGAAAGGCACGGTCGTCTGGCGTTATGAGCGCGATGCTTATCGCTGCATTCACATCTGCATACCTTGGCGTACTTCGAGCGCTGGGAACTGGCGTCTCCTACTCCTTTCCACCAAAACCTACGGTCGGACTTGTCCTGTGCTTATCTCTGCTCACCATTGCGCTCATCATTCATCTGCTCACTGATACTAACATCGAAACCCGTATTCGCTCTACTGTCCCTGTCCGACTCGGTAGGAATCAATCGGCAGCATTCATCGTTCTTCTCATTGCCTTCAGTATTGGTGTTGTTGTATACCGACGCCAAGGTCCCATCATGCAACACCCGATCACGAATCTGCTTGAAGTCGCCAACACTGAGCATGGGCGTTGGGCCTCACAAGCGTACAGAAGTCAGTCACTGGCCGAAGCCGTCATCCACTACCAGCAGCGCTACAAGCGTGACCCACCCCCCAACTTTGACAAGTGGTACGAGTATGCAGTTGCTCGAAATTCCATCGTGATTGATGACTATGACAACATTGAACAGGACCTGGCACCTTTCTCTTCATTCAACGCCGACGATCTTCGCTTGCGAACAGCCACCGTTTTGGCGACGAATGAGGCTGTCGCAGGCGTGCGCATCAGAAATGGTAAAGCAGAGGTGTTCACCAATGTACCAGAGACCCATCGCTGGATGATGGAGGGCGCGGTGGCCATGGTCCAACGATTCGCCGAGTCCCTGCCTGACATGGATCTCGCGATGAATCTGCAAGATGAGCCTCGTGTCGCCGTACCTTACGAAAGATTGCAAGACGCCCTTGACAATCCCCAACCTTATCCTACTCCCGCGCCAAACAACCCAAGCAAAGAGTTTAGTCCACAACGCGCGAACGGTTGGCCCGATCCAGAGAAAATAAGGACAGATCCCCACTTTTTCGAGAATGGCAGGTTTCAATCGTCATTCCAGACATATGGATCTGTGGCATGCTCGCCCACCTCTCGCGCGCGCAAGGAAAGACACTGGAACACCAGGGTATTCTGTCACACGTGCACTCAAGCGCACTCAATGGGTGCCTTTGTCGCAAACTGGACGCTTTCTGCAGATCCATGCCATCAGCCAGATATCGCCAACTTGCATGGCATGCACCTAAGTCCGTCTTCTCTGATGGGCACCCACGACATCGTTCCGATCTTCAGTCAAAGTCGTGCCCCCGGATACATTGACATTCGCTACC